GACGTCGACCTGTTGACCGCGAATGGTAATGGGGGCAAACGATGGAGTAAGCTTAGAAAAGCAGACACGCAATTCTTTGGTCTTTGATACGTTTAACTTCATATTATTGTCTGATGACCATTCAGAGCAGCTGATGATGTTAGCGGGTAACTGGGAAGGGGAATTGTTTGATATTATTTCCCAAAGGCTAGTATCATCGATAAATTTAACAGTTTCATCCACTACAGCCAAGTCATTTATCATGATCAAAAATAATAGCGGGCCAAGCTTCGTTCCTTGTGGGACGCCGGCGTTTAAAAACTTCCACTCAGAAAAGAACTGACCAACACGGGTTCTTTGTTGTCTGCCTGTTAGGAAGTTTGCGATCCAGTTGAGTAACACGGGATGAATTTCCATGTCTTTCAATTTTTCCAACAGAATGTTATGATCTAATCTATCAAACGCCTTGGCAAAATCAAGTAAACAAATCCGTATAGTGTTGCCTTGTTTGTCAGCTGTTTCAAACCATTTATGTAGCATGTAGATTAATGCCATACTAGTGCTTGAACCCTTCAGCGAACCAAATTGCAAGGAATCAATTTTTTTTGAGACGGAGTCAAGTAGCCATTTGTAGGGAAAGGATTCAAGAATCTTGCTGATAATTGGTGTGAGGGAAATTGGTCTGAAGTCAGAATCAACATCTTTAGGAGGCGAAGATTTTTGAACTGGTGTAATATTTGCTGCCTTCCATATTGAGGGAACAAATCCTTCACGAACTGATGAATTAAAAATAGAACAGGGTTTGAGTCTAGCTTAAGTTGATGTAATTTCATCTCAAACCGTATCCTACCTTCCTTTTCTTCGGCATTAGTAATTAACTAAATTAGTAAGTATAATTAGTAATTAACTAAATAACTAATATTAACTATGAGATAATAAAACTTGACCTGTCTCCAACAAATTAAGGGTAGTAATGGTAGTAATAGAGTAAGAGTAATGTTTGACTCTGGGAGTCATAAATCGTTCGTAACTGCGGACGTAGCACGCGCGCATAATTTAAAATTGCTTAGGAAGGAGTGGCTTAGCATAAGTACGTTTGGTCGGAAAACCACTGAATCGGGATTGCGTGATGTAGTTCTTATCGACCTGATTCCTGTAAGCGGTGGTGGGAATCTAACACTCGAGGCTTATGTCGTGCCGGAGATTTCACGAATAAGCAACGAGCACGTTGAAGTCGTTAAGAAAGACTTTTCGCATTTGCGTAACCTTTGGTTTTCAGACGTATGCCGGACCAAAGAGGAGCTTGAAATTGATTTGTTGATCGGTTCAGATTACATTTGGAAGTTTCAGAGGGGCCGAACCATACGGGGGGAGCCTGAGGAGCCGGTTGCAATTGAAGCTGAGTTGGGATACGTTTTGAGTGGTCCTCTTAAACCATGTGAAGGGAGAGGCAGACAGGATTATTCAGTTTATTTCGTTTCCCAGCAAAGAGTAGACACAGATAGTGTTAGTTTAGAGAGAGAAGTGAGAAGACTGTGGGATTTAGATTCGATTGGTATTAGAGTAAATGATGAGGTGCATGAAACGTTTGAAAATGAAGTAAGTTTTAAAGATTGCAAGTATTCGGTAAAATTGCCATGGAAGCAGGGTCATGAACCCTTGCCCAGTAATTACGTAAACAGTTTAGCTCGCATGCAAAACCAATTAAGGAAATTGCGCAAAGATCCGAAGGTGTTGGCAGATTATGACGCGATAATTAAGGATCAGTTAAAGACTAGAGTAATAGAACCGGTTGCAGCGTTGGAAAAGCCAAGCGATAAATTGCACTATTTGCCGCATCAAGCAGTAATTAGGAAAGATGCCGAGACCACTAAGATAAGAATTGTATATGATGCGTCAGCAAAGGAGTCTAAGAACGGAACGTCCTTGAATAATTGTTTGCACACAGGACCATCATTGAATCCACAGTTGTTTGATATACTTGTTAGGTTTCGAGAAGATAAGGTTGCGTAGGAGATATTGTGAAAGCGTTTCTTAATATTGAAGTCGATCCAGGCGATCGAGATTGTTTAAAATTTTTGTGGGTAGATGATTATAAGAAGGAAAGTGCCGAAACTATTGTTTATCGTTTTTGTCGTGTAGTATTTGGGTTATAAATGTGTCACCGTTAGACACAATTAGACATAATTGAAATAAGTTTGTTTCGACCGATCCATGTTTCGTAAGGAAAATGCTAGAAGGATTTTACGTGGATGATTTAGTATCAGGCGGAAACACAAGCGAAGACGTATTTGAGTTATATAATAACGCTAGATCTCGAATGGAAAGCGGAGGTTTTCGATTGCGTAAGTGGAAAACAAATGATCCGACACTAAGACAGAAAATTTGTGAGTCTGAGAAGGATGTGCCACAACAAGTAATTAGGGGTTTGGAAGAAGACGAAACGTATGCAAAATCAAAATTGGTTCCTCAAAGTGGAACAAAGGGTGAAAAAGTTTTAGGATTGGCATGGAATTTACAGAATGACACAATACGTTTCAATTTTGAACACATTGCACGTAAGAAAGAAAGCTCGGAACCGACGAAAAGAAGCTTGTTGAGTTTATTGAGTAGCTTGTTTGATCCGTTAGGTTTAATCAGTGGAATTATTGTAAGCATGAAAATACTATTTCAAGATGTCTGTAAGAGTAAGTTAGGATGGGACGACACATTTGGCAATGACATGAAAAAGCGATTAGATAAGTGGATTGAAGATTTAGTTGCAACACGAGAGATATACGTTGACAGATGTTTATATGATGCAAATGTAGGAAATATTTCAGAATGTTATTTACATGCAGTGTTTCCACTTGCAAGGATTTTTCCCTGCAGCAAGAAATATTGCTCCTTGCAAGGAATTTACAAGGAAATAAAATTTACAAGGAAATGGCAAGGAAAAATACAAAAATTAAAGGAAATTGCAAGGATTCTGTAACTTATATCAGTTGCAAGTCTTAAACCAGTAAAAATCATCTTATAAATAGTATAGGTCTAACAAAAGAGGTACAGAAGAATCTGAAAATGCCATTTCCGGCAATCTAGGGACTATAAATTTCAAAATTTGAAATTCTTGAAAACTTGCCCAAGTTTTCAGGCAATGTAATGATGCTCGATTTCTCGTAGGGTCTATGATATATTTGCCTCAAATATGCCTGAATTTTCTTGATTTTTTCCACCGTTCGAGTGGCAAGGAAATTTTGTGGGGAAAAAGGAATTTTGGAGATTGATTTGATCTCACAACTCCCGGTTATTTTTTCCTCGAATTTTTAACAAATTAAGAATTTTTGGTGTTCTGGTGTTCCGTATTCCGGTATGATGCTGCTCCGGTGTTCCTGATTTTACTAATAGGCCTAATAGCGCGGTCACTTTGCCCATTTGACTGCGTCTGTTTCGAGGCCCTGACGAAAAACACACACACGTGATCGGAAGATGAATGCCATGAACTGAATTATTGCCATGAGCTCGTAAAATATTTCCTAACCGCATGTTAAAAACTATCCGAAAACCGCTATTTATTTTGGTCAATAACCGAATCCCCAGGGTTAATTTCGACATTTTCCGTCTCCGCACGATTTCCAGTTAACCGCAAACCGTACAAAATAACTGGATATAACCGAAATCCGACCTCAAGAAATGGCTAAAACCGCATAACCGCGAAACTATAATAGACCCCCTGTTAAGAAAGACCAAGTAAGCAGTTTAAAGGCTGTAATTGATATAGAACGTTACAGCAGTCTAATGAGACTTTTGAAGGTTACAGCATGGGTAAGACGAGCAGTTAACAATTTCAGAAAACTTTTCAATAAAAATGAATGTGTAACGACTAATTTGACAGCGGAAGAAATTAATAGAGCCGAAATAGAATGGGTAAAAGCGACCCAGTGTGAATTAAAGGAACAAGACAATTATAAGCAGTTGGTTCGAAAACTAGGTTTAGTCGAAGAAGACGGAATTTTAAGATGTACTGGTAGACTCGGCAATTCAGGTTTGGAATTAGATGCCCAGAAACCGATTCTGTTGCCAAAAGAGCATAAGTTTACTCGTTCGGTAATAGAAGCATGCCACCAGAAAGTACACCATTACGGTGTTAGATCGACGTTAGCGGAATTAAGGTCAAGATTTTGGGTGCCAAAGGGCAGACAGATTGTGAAAAAAGATTTTGAATCAATGTGTTACTTGCAAAAGACTGATAGGCAAGTCATATAAAGAGCCAGCAACAGCAGCACTACCAGAGTTTCGGGTGACTAAAGCGCCACCATTTTCCAGAGTAGGAATAGATTTTGCAGGACCGCTATATGCAAATGATGCTTCTGGTGAAAAAAGTATATATCGCGTTGTTTTCTTGCTGCGTCACCAGAGCAGTCCACCTAGAATTAGTAGAGGAATGTCGGCAGAAGCGTTTAAGCGTTGCTTGCGGAAATTTACAGCGCGGCGGGGAATGCCTAAGCTAATAGTTTCAGATAATGCGAAAACCTTTCAAGCAACCGAAAAGGATTTGAATAAGTTATTTGATCATCCAGAAATAAAGTCATGCATACTTTAATAATATGAGAATAGAATGGAAGTTCAATTTAGAAAGAGCACCCTGGTGGGGTGGTTTCTTTGAGAGAATGGTAGGCTGTGTGAAGCAGTGTTTAAGAAAGACATTAGGTAGAGCTAGATTGAAAAGAGATGAGTTAGAAACAGTGTTAGTAGAAGTAGAGTGTACGCTTAATTCTAGACCGTTGACGTACGAGTACGATGAAGTGGGAGAAGAGGTGTTAACTCCATCTCATTTGATTTTCGGTAGGAGAATAAATTAATTACCTGATGTGGTAGACGAGCCAGAGGAAGCTATAGGTGAACGCGAGTGTACAGCAAGATTTAGGTATCTCAGTAATAGTAATTTTGGAACGGGTGGAGAAAGAGTACTTGATAGGACTTAGAGAAGACTTAGAGGAGCAAAAGTAAAAGTGGTTTCTAGTGGACGACCCATGTACCTATCCAGACCAGTTCAAAAATTGTACCCCTTAGAGATTAAAAGTCAGAGGGAAGAGGGGTGGGTAGGTACTGTGCCGGAAAAAAGTAATTGCGCAGAAACCAACAAATCAAAAAGAAGTACTCCTCCAAGGAAGGCAGCGCTAGATTCGAAATGCAAATCTAGGTTAATGCTTGACTCATAGCGAGTCAAGCGGCGGGAGTGTGTTAAGGAACTTCAAGATTAATGCGCGATGTGGGCGCAGCGACCGCGAAACGTGAATACGCAATAATTGACATAAATTGCGCGTAAGCATGATGTAGATACAGCACGTTTCAGCGTTAAAATGGAATGAAAATATGACACACCTTAGACGTGACTAAGGGAAGGAACTTTATGTGGTTAAATATGACGTATGAACAGAAAAAATGGTTTCCTAGTTTTAGAGTATAAATATGAGTGTAAAAATATTATATGAATGAATTGGTTGGTTGATTGGAAAGTGTGAGTGTTAGAGTGTATTAGTATGAAATGTATGTAGAATGGTTAGTTTGATTGCTTGTAAAAGATTGTTTGAATAAAGGAAAATTGGAAAAAAGGAAATACAGTCCCAGTGGTTTGTTGACTGAACCAGCGAGCGGAAATTTCTTATAGTTTAACCAAACTTGTGCGAAGAAATTACAACACTCTCTTGCGACAGAGAATCACCCGTAAGTTTGAACCCGACCGCCCCTACCTTCACCCCTAGACCGAGACGTGACGCGGCAGCTGCAGCAACCGTCCGTAAACAACAAGAAGCAGAAGAAGATTGGTGACATTTATTTTAATATTTTATTAACTAACATTTCAGTTGTTTATATAGGTAGACCATAAGGAACTACGACGAGGTCAGTCCCTTAGTGAGCATATATCTCAGTTGAGATATATGGGGGAGTGTGTCGGGACTGACTGATAATTATATATCTAATATATGTTGATATGCTTGACGTACGAAGTCGAGAGAGATAAGAGGAGAATGGGTGCGAGTTGAGTTAGTACAAGAAAAAACGAGTGAGACAAGAAGCAAAATTTCGAGAGAGAATTGTGACTGTGACTGTGAGCGATAGTAAGAAAGTCTAATCGATAGACAAACAGCGAACATATATATTGGGAACATTACGTTAACTGGGACACAAGGGAGAACATTCTATACTATTCTATTAATTGATTTATTGTTACTGTTGGGTTAAATATAATATATTCTTAAAACATTTGTGATTTTGTGACTTGTCGGGAACTACGTTAAAGCGGAGGCGAATTCTCGACAATTTTCAGGTAAGCAATGTTCAAGAAACACAGAGGCTGTTAATAAGCGGTGGAAATTTTGGATGTAATCATTGCAGATGTATGGATGAAATTGCAAAATATTGTTGTGAATGCGATATCGGCTTCCCGAGCACATTCTGTAACCTTGACTTTGACGAGTATTCAGTTGGGTAATTAATACTGGCCGGATAAACGGATGTGAATTGTTCCATGGATATCGATGACAATGCGGGATGACCATGTCTTCAAAATGGGATTTGTAGGAATAAGGTAGAACATGGTATTTCATTTGTTAGAAGAAGTTTATAATGAGGATCGTGGATGGAATGAGGAGTTCACTCCTATGCATTTTCGGTGATTTACCAAATGCATGTAATTCTCAGCAGCAAACTGCTGGTGCAAGTTTAATTCATAGTCGTCCAAATTCCATTTATCCAGTGAAAAATAGGCATATCCCAGCTACTGGTTTACCCTCTCATCACCCTCTATCATAGCGATTTAAAACCCAAAAAGTGCGCTTCAATACTTTCTCTAGCTGAATCATACAGTTAAAAAATATTTCACCGAAAAGTTGATTGATTGTATATTGACGCTTGTCACTGTGGTAGTAAAAAATGACACGGTGCTGATATCTTTTGTGTTTTGTTTCTAATTTCAGAGTACTACAGAGTACACCGCAGGGTACAACAAAAATTTGTACTGTTGTCTTGAACGAGATCGTGATTCGAACTCGCATATTTATCGTGATTCGAACTCGCATATTTAGGTTTCTAGACCGCTGGCCTGGTCTGCCCGTTGTGCCGTTATCGAGTCAACGGCGAATAACATATTATAAAACTAGTTTTTCATATATCTGAGGATGGTTCTAAAATAGCACGGAAACACTGTACGTCCTCCGAGACAAGCGTTAAGTTCGCGTCGCAAATGAAATATTTTGTGCACTTACTGTAAGTTGGATAGGACTCGCTGGAAGAGTGGCAGTCTAGAAACTCAAAGATGCGCGTTCCAATGCCGCTTGAGATAACGAATTTCTCTTTGCACTCAGCAGTCTCACAATAATATGAAACTAGTTATTGCTTCTAAGTTAATGCTTTCAACACTACATATTAGCAATTAATTTAACAACTAACAAATGTTTTTGGTTGCAATGTATGGTAAGAATATTCACGATGTGGGTGACACACATGTCTAAGTGTCCTTCAAAAACTCATTAATAATTCAGGAGCAAAACACAAAGAAAAATCATAAGCGTGTCGTGGTTTTATATGTGATAAAAAATCACGTTAATTTACATAAAATTTAGCTTTGATTTTCTTGGTTTAGACAAAGTTTATTTTAAAAATTACTTCGCCAATGAACTCGTATAAGATGAGTCGTTTTTGAAGCTATTTAAAGCACTTGTAGTCGTGTTTTATCACATATAAAACACTCCGCTACGCGTCGTGTTTTATATGTGATAAAACACTCCTAAGCGTGCTTTAAATAGTACATCAACGATCTACCGAGAAGGGGACGGTTTTCTCTTCTCTGTGTATTCAGATTTCCTCTCACGAGAATTGTTGGCAAGGTGCATCAGTTGGGTTGAATCCCAAACTAATCCTTTTATCGTAGTTGTGCCCCGTGATCAAACATGGGTCGTATGGTTGGTAGTCAGGCGCGCCTTTGACTAAAATAAAATGACCCTTTCGGAAATTTTCGTCAACAGGTAGTACCCCTTCAGAACTTTTCCTTTTACAACACCCCTCGGAAATTTCAACTTGGTACCCCCACAGAAATTCAGAATTTCAGTCGACAGGGGGTGTGGAGTTTTCAAGAACAGCCACTGACCTAAAGTACATTCTAAATCAGGGGGGTGCAAGATTCACTTTTTATTGAAAAATATTTCCTCCCAGTTTTTTTATTATAAGTTGTAGATGGAATATAAAGAATACGAAAGCTTCCTATGTGTAAATATTTTGTAGCTTAGAAGTTTTGTGCTTGTAATTTTGGTTAAAAATTGAATGAAAAAGTAGGACACAAGTAAAGTGAACTCCCCCCGTGCGAACATTCGAGTTTTGCTTTGTAACCAGGCCATACGTAAATTTCACGTTGTATTTCAAATAAACGTGGGAAATCAGAAATTTGGGAAGTCAGAATTGGTCTTATTTTGTCCATATTTGTTGAATATAATGCCGATCTCTTCCAATATTAGCAAGAATTTAATCATTGTGAGTATAAAAGTGTTGTATTATAAAATTTTAGATGATTTTTTATTGGCATTTGTCGAGACTTTTATGTATATACAGTACCAAAATATGCACTGCCCTGACCACAGGCGGCCCAATCTTACCCTGTGTTATTAATTAATTACATGATATATATTTATATAAATAGTATATTGAAAATCATTAGAAAATCCTGTGTTATTAATTTATTACGTAAATAAGTTATATCTTTATTAATAGTATAATGAAAAGCACTTACATGTGTTTCTTGAAAGATTTAACGAGAACCGGCCAAGATTGGCGTTGACAAGGGGAATCCCGAAACATCGAGTTGGATTCCGAGTTCGAGTTCGAGTTAAACTTCGAGTTACTTATACACTGGCGTTTCCGAATGTTCTGGTAATTTCCGAACAACTCCGATTCATGTTTATTTCTTCGCAACTTCAAACACGTGTTATTACGTTCATAAAAGTATGGAGAATGAAACGTAGCAATGTAAATTTACTTTAGTATACATCGTTTTTATAATGCACTTTGTTGGACATCTTATACAGTAATGACTATGTGTATTTTGGAAAAGAATATATTAAAATTTGTACATTTTCGTTCAAAATATGTATTCGAAACTATATCAGTACTATTCTGCATATCCTCACACGTAGTATTTGGGATTATCCTTAATTGTCAAATTTTCTAAATATTAAGGATATGCCTTTTATTAAGTTGAACCCTAACCGCCACCCAACCCCACTCTAACCTCTAATCCTAACCCTGGTTTAATCTTAATCTGGCTCTAATCTAATCCTTATCTAAAAATGACTACCTTTTTTAATATTCCCGGCCCGCCCCTGCGCGTCCAGCCCCCTAATAATACGCGTGAGGATATACATGTTGCATTATTAGTCTTGAAAGGTCAAGGAGAGTACTACACGGCAAAAAACGCCGAGACCGTTGCTCAACAGGACTGAACAATGTTTTGCTGCCCACGTTGTTCACACTTGTCAACAATATTGAACAATGCTGTTGAGCCTGAATCGGGTGTAACAATATTGTTCAATGTTGTTGACAGCTATGAACAATGTGAGCAGCAAAACATTGCTCAATCCTGTTTTCATCAGTATTGCATCAACCTGAGCGTTTTTTGCCGTGCATATAGAGGATGTTTGACGGCGGTTTAGTGCTACAAATACAATACTTCATGTGAACTCATATGCGCATCGCTGTTTTTTTACAAAGAAACGCCTGGGTACGGAGACAGGGTGTAGTATGAGATTGCAGACCATCCTCGTTCCCAGGGCTTCTGGGAACGAGGGTGATAGCAGACTGATCAGCACTGCCTCATTCTCGTACCCAGTCTGTGCGAAAGGCGGTGCGAAGATATAAATTTTACGTTTGAGTGAGTAAAAAATATTGTTTTCAGTTTTCACCACGAGAAGATAAAATAATAATAAGATATGAAACTTCAAGCCACCGTGCATTTAATGTTCTTTTTATTATATAGTCGTTAGTAAAAACAACAAAGAAAATGAACACTTAATCGATATCTTCACTAGTGCAGATCTAGTTATGGAAAATATCTCACTGTGTATTTTTTGGTGTCCGGGACTGTCTACTATAAATAAATTAGGGTACGAGTGCTTTTGTTTCGAATTAAGAATACAAACAATGAACTAATGAAGTACATGATATGAGAAAGGTATCTCTGTAAAAAAGATTTATTATAACATTCCAAAAATGTGCGGAAAACATGTCAGGTCAGGGTTGGGCAGGAAAAAAGGTTGGGTGAAATACAATTGTCATTTTCCCGAAAAGTAAAGAAAAATATCCAACTCGAAGTTTAACTCGAAGTCCAACTCGAAGTCCAACTTGAATCCTAACTCGATGTTACCTAACTCCCGGTTCACATAGATATACGTTGAAGGTTTTACTATGATATTTCGATAAGTATTTTAAGTTGTGAACATATTTTAATATTGATCGATTGAACAGCGAACCGACTCGACCAGTGCGACAACGCCTTACATAAACAATGTGAAAGCTGGAACGAGCTAGCAACGCCTACCCACACTTTTATAACTCAACGTTGATTGGCTGGATACAAATCACACCACTTGCTAGATCACGTGTACAAAAATCCCTGCACCGTTAGTATAAAAGGGCGTGCACAATCCAAATTCGTGAGTAGACTTTCATTGGACTATCGAGTGGACTCGATAAAGTAAAAATTATGTATGAAAAGTCGTAGAAAGCTAAAAACGAAACTAGACAACGACAAAGAAAAAACGAACAGTGAACAACGAAAGAGGCTGAAGAAAGAAGATAACTTTGAAAAGGAACGATTTCAATATTAACGTTATAGTGACACTAATTAGGAACACTGTAACGATTCCTTTCCTCGCGTAGAAAAGGAAATGAACTCTGCATGCATTGCTTGTATTATTGGAATTATTTTTGTATCTATACGAGTGACTGAGAGTTAGGAACAGCTGCGAAAAATGCGACTGTAGGTCCCTGGAATCCGGTTCAGCGCTCTAACCAACTGAGCTACAGAGGCCAGATGTCAAGCTCTAACTACAACTTCACGTACATATACAAGGGTACTGCCATGTTAGGTTATGTGTAAATATCAAGATTTTGTTGACATCTCATTCGATTGAATAATACATATTTGAAGTTTGTAGATGGAAATTATCGAGTGGAAATTTATATACATTTTTTTAATATAAGGCCGTCTAATAATTATAAGTAATAGCATATGACTTGAAGGAAATTAGTGATTAAATGCCCCGAAGGCGATGTTTGTTCCACAAACCTCCCGAGTGTTCGGGGTATTCAATCACTAATTTCCCACATGTCATGCTAATTCAGTGTTGTAACGAGTCGAATCATTCGCCCGTATTCTAAAAGCTCAGATTGGACCTCCACTCATTGAGTGTGAGTGAGCTTTTAGA